AAAATAAGTCCAGCAGTTTGTTTTGCAGTCTGCGCTAACAAAAAAGTTCATGCTATCTTGGCAAACTGTAAGGGGATCTGATGTTCAGTGCAGATCAACTTCTCTGTAACAAGAAGCAAAAAAGAGTCGTTGTCAGTCTTTGTGCTACCTTTCCTAGCATGAGCATCAAGAATGGAATTGATCAGCCTGATCATTGGTCATTCCTGGAGGGGTGAAGATTGGACTTTACTTCTCTCCTACTTGTTGAAAGGCACCATGACCTTTCAGTGCTTTTTTTGGCCTCTCATTTACTGGCAACTCTCTATGCAGAACGTTTCGCAAATCCCTATCATAGCTTTGTTGCTGTACCACTGGGTAAGTTATTGTGCCTCTAACCATGAACTGGGAGGCTTGGGTTTTTCTGTGAAGAGATTTTGCTTTACAGAAATTGCCAGTGATCAAGGTACGAACTTTGGCTTTCTAAAGAGCAGCTTTCACATCAAAAGCATGCGTTGGGCTTCATTGAAAGAAGAATTTCGCAGCTATAAAACCAAGCTGCTTTTTAAAAATGCTGCCAGCAGCAATCTTTACAGTACAGTACTATGCATGTCTACTCAGAAGTAAGTCTCACAAGATTAGATGTGGCTTATACTCTACCAAGTATGTGTTGGATTATGGCCTAACAGTAACAAGAAGAATCTTTGAAGATTTGGAAATAATTATTCCATTATTCATAGATGCAAGGTTGAACATAAGTTATAATTATATATATTTTAAATGCATATTTTCATCTATAGCTGAATGCTTACTGAAAATTTGGCGCACAACACATGATGAAACTGACACATATATGCAGAAAATGGGTGATTAATATTCTTGTTCATAAACTAGTTTGTTATTCTTTTCTTGAAATGATAATGTACAAGACAATGTGTAGCCTTATGCTTTATTAAGAACAAGTTAAGGTTAATATAAAATTAATGTTAATTACAGGATTTATTTATAATGAATGATGGCTAAGGTTCCATTCTTAGTTGTTCACATGTAATTTTCTGTTGAATACTGATCTGCTTTTAAATAAAAGAAATAATATATAGCAACATAATTTGAGTCAAATAGCTTTTGCTCCTGAACTTTTTTACTATTTTTGCAAAAGAAACTAGAGAAGTTACACAATTCTGCACAATGAGCATTTTTCTCCGCACAAGGCAAGATTGTCTGCTAAGATGAACTTTTTTTATTCATCAATTACTCAAATTGTCAAAATTGTTGATTTTCCCTCTGCAGCATCTTATTCAGTTTTATCCAAGCCCTGTTATTCTTGCGATGTGTATTTTCACCCACCAGAGGAGAGGTGTGGCAGCAAAGAAATGCACATCATAATCCCATTAAAATGTTATGGAGGTGTTAGAAAAATAGAACAGGAAAGCGGCAGTGCTAGTGGCAACCCAATGTCCATCTCTTGAACTATGAGGAGATTTGGCCTGCTGCTCTAAGAAACATAAATGTTTCAATACACATTAATTTATTAATTTAAACATGTAGTTAAATACTGCAGATTGACCATGAAGGACACTTCAAATGCTACATCTGCTAGCCGAAGGGAAAATGTTTGAATTATCTATAATCTTTGAGTCATGTGTACACCCACCCTCTGCAATGGAACACTCATCAGAAAAAAGACTCACAGCCATGCGCAGAGATATCTTTATTTGATTCCATTCATTATATTTATATCCTGCCTTTTTTCTTGCAAGGTACCCAAGGCAGCTTACATATGTTTTCTCTTCCTGTACATTTTAGCTTCACAAGAACCTTGTGAAGTTAGGCCAAGATTCAGTGAGTGGCTGCAGAGTCCTGAGCAAAGTACATGGCTAAGTGGGGACTAGAGCCTGGATTTCTCCAGTCCTAGTCCAACCCTCTAATCACGATAGTAAGCTACAGTATCATGCAACAGCAGAGTTGGGAGGGGCCAGGGGGCCACAGAGTCCAACCCTCTGCTCAGTGCGTGGCATTGAGTTAAACCGTCCCTCTCAAATGGCTGTCTGGTTGCATCTTGAATGCCTCTAGGGAAATTGCTCTTATACATATCCCAGGTCTCCTGAACCACACAGAGAATTTAGAAGTGTAGTAAAGAATCATTAATTAATCCCCCTCTCACCTCCATCAATAAATAAGCTTACACAGAGACTATGGCTTCTCTCTTTCCCGTGCAAAAGTGTTTTTTTAAAGTTATTTGTGCTCTTGGCAATGCAAACATCATCATCTATTTCAGAGCATATTGCTGAGCAGCTAGGATGACATCCGATGCATCCGTCCACAGGACGTTACAGGCATCAGTTAGCGTGCAGGAGGAGCTCTGCAAAAGCCACTGATGACCAGTTTTGACCATCTATGCCTTTGGTCCTCGTTGTAAGAAAGAGGGATTGAGGCATCATAGGGTTTCCCCATATGGAGCCTCACTTCTTCAGGATGTCCTCCGGTGTTGTACTTGGAACTTCGGAGCTGCAGCCAGTCAAGAATGAACCATACTGGCAGCAAAGGTGCAAGAAAGGCAAGTCATGTTTGGAACCCCAGCTGGGTCTCACGGTTGTTCAGACAGGGTCCAGCAGTCGTAGGACTATATCCTAAAACTACAGTATTCACTGATATAGGAAATAACAAAAAGAAATTGTGTCATTTTAATGCTGTGGTACTTTTCTGTAACCAGAGGATGTACACGTATGGGTTTCCCTGAATTTCCAGGTTAGCACAATGTAAGGAATCTCCTCTGTCCATGTACCACCCCTAGTTCTTTCCTGTCTGATAGTTCAGAACGCTCTGATGCAGCTCCTTACTTCCAAGAAGCAGAGTTGTGCATGATTTTTTAAATGCAGTGCACTTCTACATTTTTGCACAAGGGATAAATACATGCACCCATTCTACTTCTGCAAAGCAAAGCAGACGAGAGAGTAAGACTGATTTGTCATCAGGGATCTAACAAGATGAACCTTGGAGGCTTTTTCCCAATTAGCCACTGCAGGGAAAAACATTCTTTTAAAGTTATATCTTACTGTTTAGCTTTAACTCCCAGGGCAGAAACAAAACTTGTATTATTCTAGTTATGGGCTTGCAGGTGAGCATATGAAATTGTATGCTGGAGGGGATCTGTAGACAGTGCTTCAAGGGACTGGTTCTGCCAGAACCATTCAGGTCCTCTGAATGCACAACATTAAACAGCCTGCTTTGAAAAGAATGCTCATACTCATTCCAGCATTTCTTTCAATCGTGGGTGTCCAGCATCTGAGAATGGAAGGGAAAATATTGAAAATTATATTGTTTACTTTGCATGGGCTCATAAAATCACAAGGTTTCACATAAAAATGGAAGGGGAAAGAGTGTAAGTTCGATTGTTTACTTTTCATGGGCCCTAAACTAAGGGTAAAAGCCCCATAGCGATATCTGCAAGGAAACCATGGATTTGCAAGTTCCTAAAAGCTGGCTGTACAAAGGCCACTCAGAACCACCACCTCTCCCTGCAAAGCACCACACCAATATTTCTGAACAAAGCAGTACTTAACAGTGAAGTTTCTAGATTGGAAAAGGCACAGCTGATCTAGCACAGACTTCTCAGCCAGGTGCTTTGGCCTAGCACTCCTGATCACTGGTCACGCTGTCTGGGGCTGCTGGAGTTAATGCCAATAAGATCTAGAGGGCACCAGGTTGGAGAAGGCTGATTGAGCAAGTATTACAACACTGAAGTGAATGCCAAGTGGATATTTTACTTATCTTAACAGTGTATTACTACTTTGGAAGGATATCCCAACTAGTGTGCACACTACAGGTTACAAAGGAACTATAGATCACACACAGTACAGAGACAGGGGCCAAGGAGAAGCACCAAGATATGAACTTGCAAATCTTGCTGCAGAAATCACCAGGATGTTGATTCTCATATCTAAAGTCATCTTGATCGCAAGTTCTACGCTAGATAAACACCGCTTTGTTATAGCTAACTAGTGATGGGATTAAAATGGTAATTCAGTGTAAGTGGAGTAACAGCGGTAATGTTAAATTCAAAAAATCCCAGAGCCTACAGGCCGATCAATTCAAGGCCAACTCAGAAAGTACTGCCAATAGGAGGAAGTTCTCACTAGCTTGGTAGGAATTTCCCTATAGAGGTTTCAGCTCCCTTCCTGTGCAGCAGATACACTTTGTATATTGTATATACATAGCAAGCAACATTATATACTGTTGCTTACCCACTAAGCTTTATCCAATTTTCCTCTTATCTCCATCATATTCTGTGCCTCCCACCAACTTTATTTCAGTTAGTTTCCCCTTCCCCAATATATCCTACTATTTGGAAAGCAAACAAGCATTCCTATGTGTGTGTCAATTCAGAAAGAGATCAAGAGTCTGGCCTTATAACACTGCTGTCCCAATTATATTATATGCCTGCCCACCCATTAACATCTGGTAAATCCCTTAAGGAGGTGAAAGGCTCTGTGAATAGATGAAGGGCCTTCTTGGTGGTCGACCTTCAATTGTGGAATAGGCTCCCCAAAGAAATTCACCTGATGCCAACAGTGTCTCATTTCAATGCCAGGCGAAGATGTTTCTTTTCTGAGTATTTCAATAACTGAGTTGAGATCTGTGATACCTACTTGTCCTGCTTACTTTATATAAGTATAATGTATAATGTTAATGTTATTGTGATTTTATTATGGTTTGAATGGTGCTGTTTTTAGCATTGGTAATTATCAATTTTATTGTAAGCTGCCTAGAGAATCCTTTCTGGATTAGTGGGCGGCATATAAATTCAAAAATAAAATAATCTAGACATTTTCCTTGGCAATAAATCCCATTGTATTGGTGGACCCATTTTCAACTGAAAGAGCGCAGAAATGCTAACCAATACCCCAATCCTAGAATTAATTTCCCTTAACAAAGCTCCACTGCAACTAGGAAATTAAGATGAAGGAGAGTCTTAGAAATGCCCTTGGAGGAGCACAAGATCTCCACACTGGAACCCATTCATATCAGGTATAAAATAGTTTATTTAAAATGAAAAATATCTGTAAAATACATATATAGCTGCAATAAAAAATAATCCTACACATAGGTAGGTACAGGAGGCTACAAGCTTCACATATTCATACCAATAGAACAGGTACATAAGAGTCAAAGGGCTGTGGAGTTGACTGCTGCATAGCAGCAAGATAGAACAAGTCCTTTTTTGTAGAGAGTCCTTTTGTGTTGGCCCACATACAGAAGAAGCTCTCTGGCCTTCCAGAGTCCACACCTGTGCATTGCAAGGCACTGTGTTCGCGATGACGTGAGACAGTTTTCTTAGGAAGCATGCTGCCTGTTCACTGAATTCCTCAGTGCCAAGGCCTGTTTGCTCTTTTCCAACGTTGCCCCCTCCTGTTTCTGAGGAACAACCTCCTCTTTGGTCTGTGGGGAAACTGGTCTCTTCTCTTCTTCCTCCTGTTCCTCTTGACTCCCTCCAGAGGCGAAAGGGCTGCAAACTGTCTCCACCAGGCCGATGACCACCCCAAAGAAGGCCAGCATGCTCCCCATCATGTACAGCTTGACCATCTTCCGGTTGGGCTTCTGGCTCAGCATCTCTTTCGCAAAGGGGATCAGCTCTTGCATCGTCTCCATGGCTCAGCTAGAAGCAGCACCTCACAACGACCTAGAGAGAAAATCAGAAGATACATCAGTTACACAGCTCAGATGCTTAAGTTCCCACCAACGAATCCTATTCTGCGCAGAGCTTTTCTCACACAATGCAACTTACAGAGTCATGCTGCTTTGAGCAGGCTACAAGGCAACTTTTCTCAGTCCAATGTCCTCGGGATGTATGATCTCTGAGCTCCTGCCATTCTCAGCCAGCACACCTACGAGCCATTTGCCATTCCCCATGCTGGCTGGGAATGATAGGAGTTGCAATCCTGACACATCCAGAGGGCACCTGGTGGGCGGCGGCTGCCACAAGGTATTGCCAGATGGTACTCCAGGTAAAGCATCTTGCTTGCGCTCCTGATGCAGTCCCGATCTAATCCTTCCCGGCATGGCCAAAGGCACAGAAGTGTGCCTTTTTCGAAGACAAATGCAAAGTGCTTTCCCCTTTATTCTGTAGCTTAAGACAATTGCTCCTAAAAGCACCCTCCCTCGCTGCTCCTTCTGTCGAAATCAGCTCGCTCTCCTCGGACAGTCTTGTCAACTCTGCCGCCCCGCGCCTCCCAAAATAGTTCATTACGCGGGTTCAGGCAGGATAGCTCGAATTCGGCTCCCGGCGCCCCACTTACCAGAGAGAGATCGCCGACACACTCGAAGCCTGGGACAACCGCTTCGCTTGCTCTACTCCGTGCACGAAAAGAAGAGCTAGGCGCTTCCCCGGCTGGGTGCCTTCCGCGGCGGCAGCCCCTTCGCTTTATAGGCCCGCGAATGCCCGAGGCGCCTCCCCTGCGCCCGCCCGAGCCAGCCCGCCTGCCCGCCCTTCGTCCTGTGCAGGCGGCGGGCCAATCGGGGCGGCCATGAGCTGAGCACGCAGCCGGCATGCCACTGCTGGCGCGACTCTGGACCTTCCTGCTCCTTGGGAGCCGGCCAGCCTGCGGGGGTCGCCGTCCCCGCTCCGGAGGAGCAATGCCCGGGCGCTGCCGGGAGGGCGAGGCGCGCATGCCCCGAGCACGCAGCCAGCCATGCACCAGTCCTGCATCAATAGCGGCGAGGAGGAGGTGATGACAGTTGGTGACAGTCACGTAGCAAACGTCCCGGCCGCTGTGCCGAGGCTGGGGGGCCGGGTGAGTGAGGGGTCACCGTGTGCAAGGACGAACATTACACGACTGCTTGGGGACAATTCCTGCGGGAGAAGGGCCGGTGTTAGAGCGCGACCTTTACTCTTCCTTCCTCCTGCCCGCCTGCCCAAAAAAGCAAAAAAACCACAAACCTGGAATTCCAGGCAAGTCGCACCGGTGCCTTGCCTTTCGCTCACGCCCAGCCAAAAGATTCCTCTCAGGAGAAAAGAGGACAGCGATGGAGAGAAAACTCGGAATCGGAATCCCCTTGAAGGGCAGCCGAAGGGAAAAGCGATGACTGTGACCCTTCATGGAACTGGTGCGTACGTCTCCTTGTGAAGGGTACAAGTCTGTGCTGTCCAGACTGCCTCTTTGGCCAGAGGGTTCCTTACTTTGCCCTTATGGCTGCCATTTTGCTCGCCACTTCTGGACAAAGGAACTTACTTGAGTTTTTAAAATGATGCCCAATACTTTGCGCTGATCCTTGCACACAAAGACTTCTTTCTTGCTATAACAATTATTTGATAGAGCTCTTTTTGCACTGTATTTTATAAGCATCCCAGCTGTCCTCCACGGTGCTCTCACAAGGGTCTTCACAAGGGCAGTTGCAATGGCTGCCTCAAGGTTTTCCCAGTGGTTTCATGGTTAGTCCAGGTTTTGAACCAGGTTTTTCCAGCCAAAATCAACACCTTTGCACCACAATATCACAGTTGTCTTATATGACACGTAGTAGCAGACTCTGCTATCCAAGTCACATTTCGATCCTGAGTCCTTTCTAAACACACTTGCACACTTACTGCTACCCTGACTTTTCCAAGGGGCTCAGGGTCATCGCGTTGACCCCATTTCCCCCCATCAATTGTCCTATAAGGTAGGTCAGTCTGAGAAGTAGTGGCTGGCCCAAGTTCACCCAGTGGCAATTTGAACCCAGGCATCTCTACTTCTGGTCTGCCATTCTAACCACTACACTTCATTGCTCCTATACAGTTGTTTAATGTTAAGGCCAAAGTACTGCAGTAAAACAATCACTATTAGACTACAATGCTGGATCCAGCCACTCCTCAATAGACCCCTCCAGCCCCTTCTTTCAACGCCTGACTCATTCTTTCAGGGAAAAGGCATGTATCTTTCCCCGACTCCTTTTTTAGTTTTTGTTAAGTTCTTCCCAGCTTTCAGAATGGCTAGGAGACAGTTCCCTTCTAGAACAGAGGGCATGGGTCTAGAATTTTACTCCAGGGATCTGCATTCTATTTCTGGCCACTAGGACACTATGCCTCCCTCTCACCTCTCACCCACTGGCTATGTTGTCTATTTGAACAATGAGGGATTGTGAGTCTGCACGCTGTCTGTTGCAAAATTGGCTCTCATTGCAAGGGAGACCTTGTTACTTTTTTTCAGATAAGCAAAGGTTGGAAAAGTTGAAACAGTTTCAGAACTCAAGCTTTCAAAACCAATAGGTGGAAAATCACCTATGGACTGTGGTTGTGTCTGCAGCATCTAACCTCCACATACAGGTAAAAATATACCTGGACATGCATTGGCATCCCAGGTGTGATACATACTCTCCGATTTTTGAGAGCAAGGAGCACAGGTACAAATGACACAGTGAATACCTGGAGACCCGAGCACAGGACCAACAGGCATGACCCTGACATTCATCTTCTTTAAGCATTAAATATAAATGCTTGAGCAGGACTTAAAAGTAAAGGGAGATCTTCAGCAGGTGTGGATAAATGTTAGGATAGCAGGATTTCTTTGTGATTTTTTTTCATTGCCAACTGGAGTCTGGCACAGACTATACTGGGGGATCCCCATAAACCATATACTGATGGTTGAAATTGTGTACTACATATACAAATTCAGAAGGGATTGTGTTTCAGAGGCAAGACCACATGCTTTTCATGAAGAGCTCACAAGTTTGATTCCTTGTATTTCTGTACAGAGTTAGGACAACCTCTTGCCTTAAAGTCTGACAAGCAGCTGCTAGTCAGTGTTAGAAATACTAGGCTAGACTGACTAATGCTGCAACTTTGTAAAAGGTGCTTCCTGTTTTCCTAAATCTACACTGGAATAAATACAAACCAAGGATGTTTTAAGGGCCTGATGTAGCAATTGGCAACCTAAGTCCCTCCAGAACTTTTGGGCTGACTCTGCTTTGCTAAATAGGGCATTGGGAGTTGTAGGCCCAAATATTCTGAAGTTTTTGTTAAGCAATTGGGAGCCAGAAACTGTTACCCATCTTTGATAAATCATTGCATCATCTCTCAACGTACCTTGTGTCTTTTGCTGATCTACAGTATTGTTTGTAGTATCATCAAAAAGTTTAGTAGTGTGCCAAGAATTAAATCAGGCATGCAAAATTGTCAAAACCTGATGAGTTTTGGATTAAACTTTGGTTGCAGAAGTGTTATGAGCAGTTGTAGGCCTATGAGCTACAGTACACAATGCAGCAGAAAAAGAACTAAAGTAGAGGCTCTTCTCAGTCATGCAGTTTATCCTTCCCATAAAATTCTACTGATTCCCATCCTTTCAACTGAATTGCAGCCCAGTTGCAAGGTTCAGAACTTCATTGACAGGGTCCATAGTTCTTCCCAGCCCTGTTTATTGGTGGTGTGCTGATTCAGCACATCCACATCCCCCTCATGTGGTTGATGTTGACAGCCCAAGAGCATTTATGGTATTCTGTAAAGGATATAACCTAATTTTCTCAGTCCCTCTTCTATGGACCTTTAGGTTGCATAAGAGCCACAGAGGGAAACATCTAAAATCCATCACCTGAATATATATGGAAGAGAAAGGATTTAATGTAATACAGCTATCCCCAGCCAGGGTAACATCTCCCATGAGGGACAGCCAGTACGGCCAATGGTCAGAGAGGGTGGAAGTTATAATACAAAACATGTGGACACTGGGTGAGGAAAGGTAGGTATGGTGACACAGAGGTTACTTTTAGCTTTGTATGGGAGTAATTGTTATTATTTGGCACTGTTTAAGTCAGTCCACAGTATTAAGTTGCCTGATTACCTTTACATTTTATTGACTTTGCATCTCAGAGTAACATAACTCATAATGTTCCCAAATAGGGATTACTTTGCTTGCTATTCTCTCTTTGTTGCATTCCCCTCTTTTCACCTTTCAGACAGACAGAGGGAGATCTGACTGAAGTTAACTGCCTCTTGTTCAATCCTTTCCCTGTTATTTTTCACTGGAACTTTTTAAACATTCTGGATGCCAAGCTCATAGGGTTTGAACTGAAGGTCTAGAGAAGCAGTGTTGGCAGTGGATGGCAGGAGCTGTAGTTCCAGAATATCTGAAGGGCCCCAGGTTAGTAAAGGATGAAATCTGAGATGCGCATGCACAGAGACACACAGTTGTTTTTCCATGTGCAAAAGTAATGTCTGAAAAAGAATATGATGATGATGCTATTAATAGGGTTTTAAAAGGACCAAAAGAATGCTACATACTTGTACTTCTTTTTCTTGTCCTGAAACCCTCCCTTATGCAATGGACTTCTTTCTCTGCTTATTCATTTATGCAGAAACCAACTGCATGCTAACTGTCCCTTAAGCAATGAGTCACAGCAAGAAGGTACGGTACATTCTGTGTGGGAGATTGTGGGCCTTTCCCTACTCCTTTCACACTTTTTTTTTTTTTGGCCTCCATCTCTTTATGGGTATTGCATCAGCAGCGTAAAGCAGATTACATTAGCTTCAACAACCCTCATTTAACCTCAAGCTGCTATTAACCGTCACATAAATAGTAAATACAAGAATCCATTGGAGGATGAGAGCAAGCATGATTAGCTCTAGTGGTGACATAAGGCATTTGGCCAAAATTCTCTCTTCTGGTGTGGCCAAACTTACCAGGCCATTAGAAATTGTGTTGATGACTTTTTAAAAAATAAACAATAGGTGATAAGTGAGACCCTAACATAAGGAGTAGGGTCAGGATTAGGGGCTGATGGGGTTTATTCTGTGGTGCACAGTAGCTCACATTGAACCTGGTCAAAACCTTTGTGCATCATAATTGCTCTGAATTTCTGACTGAAATTTAATATAGCCCCATCACTTCCACATGACTGCACAATATATGGCAAATATGTTTCCTACATTGCAAAAGACTGTCTGCCTTTTTGAAGGCTTGTCTAATACTAGTCCAGTTGAAAGGTTTTGAAAAAAAAACCTTCAAGGTGGGCTCTTGAAGTTGTCCATCAACAGTTAGTGCCAAGACAGCAAACTATGCATCCACCCTGGTTATCTACATGCAATATTTCCACTTTGCCTTGGTAAGATTTATTACATTTTTGCACATATGAGACTTGGAAGGGCAGCAGTGAAGAACTAGTAAAGATAATCAAATGCAAGAATATTTCACTAGAGACCAAGGTTGTCCACATTATTGTATTCCTGATTGCAAGCTGGACAGTGAAGCAAGCTGACAGGAAGAAAATAGATGCTTTCAAGACATGGTGCTGAATACCCTGGACTGACAGAAAGATGAGCAAATGGGTCCTACATCAAATCAACTTTCCCTGGAAGCAAAAATGACAAAACAGGCTGTTGTCCTTTAGGCACATCATGAGAAGGCAAAGTCACTGGGGAAGACAATGCTAGGGAAAGGCAGAAGAAAAGGAAGACCAAATATGTGATAGATTGATTCCATAAACTAAGCCACAGCCTTGAATTTACAAAAGCTGAGCAGGGCTGTCAAGGACAAGGCATTTTGGAAGGCATTGATTCATAGGGTCTCCATAAATATGTAATAACAACAAATAGAATACCTAACTAAATTTGTATCTATTTGAATAAGTTAGCATATGCAAATTTTGTGGGAATCAGCACCCTCTTTGGCCATCTTAGGAAGAAGTTGGCAAGCTTTCTTTCAGGAAAAGAAATCAATCAGTCACTTGCCATCACTCACTTAAGGACTTTTAGGACTTCCCGAATCACAGTTTGACGTCTAGAAGCATGAGTTGCTAAAGAATGAACTAGGGCTCGTAGAGTTTGTAAACTCATTTATAGGAAATGAACCCTCTACACACAAACTGGTGAGTAATACCCAGGCTGGAAGTTGATGACTTTAGAGCACATGCTTCTGGAGATGCGAGAGCTTCTTTTGCTACGTGCTGTTTGAGAGCAAGGCATATAAATGACTCATTCGGAATTTAGCAACAACTCCTTTTGGTGCAGGGAAAGATCAGACCCTGATTTTACTAAATTTCTTACGTATAGCTCATTAAATGGGTGAAGAATGTGTACTGCAAATGTTGGTGGACTGCAATTCCCATCATCTCTAGCCATCCCAGTTAATGCTGAAAGC